CATCGCGCAACGTCATACACAATAGACACCCAGAGCGGGCCCAGAGCGCGCCAAGCTTGGAACGGCACCCCATCTGGGCCAGGTGCCAAATTGCCGCTGTGGCGGATGGCGACCTCAATGTCTTTTCTGCGAATGCGCCAATGCCGCTCGTGGGCGGGAAGGGGGGTGCGGTGTGGTTGTGTTCGTCGGTGTGGGCCTCCCGTGTCTTGATGCTCGTCGCGACGGCGTGTCCCTCGTCTGGTGGCGGTCGCTGGCTGTGTCGGAGCTCGTGAAAAAGCTGGTAGACTCTGGAGCCAGTCTTGGAGCAAGTATGGGTTGATGGGCTGCTTCCAGAAGGTTGTCGCCCAGTGGGAGCTGAGTTCCTTGCCAATAGCTGCTGGGTCTGTCGCGAACTCTCCAGTCGCTGTCTCGAGGGCGCCAACGGTGGTGCAAGATCCTGGCATAATGCGCTTCAATCGGCTGAGGATGTTGGTCTTGCGGACAATGTTTTTGTAGTCGTGGTTGCCCTCACCCCTCTGCTCCTGTGTGTCTCTGAGTTCTTCTGTAATGACGTGCCGTGCAAGGAAAACGGCGTGGTCCAGCAGTGCCCGAAAACCGTCGGTGAAGCATGCATTCGGGTTTTAGGGGTTCACGAACGTGCCGATGTGAGGATACTCCAACTATTTGCGGTACATCTTGTCCAAATGAATCGCCTGCGCTGCTCGAATGAAGCTGAGGGTGCAGCTGAGCTTGTCATCAATCGTGGTGGCAGTCACGTATAAGCCTTCCTTGGTCATGTTCCCCGAGACTGTGTGCATAGCCCGCTTAACCAGCACGAGCTTGCGAACGGAGTTGTCGTAGTCGCGGGGTTCGGTGGAGATGCAAGCAAGCTCCGCTGCAACACGTCGCTCCCAGTCGGGATGGTTAATGGTGCCCACTGTTTTGGTCGTCTGTGTTCGCGTATCCCCGTAGTCGTCTCGGCTGTCGTGGTGCCGTTCGTCGTGCCCTTCGCGGGCAGAGTCGGCGGCCATGTTGAGAATGGAAACGCATGCCGGACGGATCCGGAAAAAAAGAAAGGGGCGCGTGCGAGGAGAGGCCAGGGACCCTGGGGTTGCATCCAATTTTGTGGTCGAGCTGTTCTGATAGATAGTGAATCGTGTACACCCTGGTTTTTCTAGCACCGCCACTTCACTCATCGACCGGGTGCACACGAATCACCATCCATCAGACCAGCTCGACCACAAAATTGGATGCAACTATCCGCATTCTTCTTGTCTCTAGTATCGTGACTATGAACATGCTGATGACGATGGTGATGATGATGCTGCTGATGATGATGATGACGATGCTGATGATGTTGATGATGATGATGGTGGTGGTGATGATGCTGATGATGATGATCAGTATTACAATTATCATTATTATTATTTCAATTCGTATTATCACCATTATTATTAATCGTGTTATCACTGTCTTCATGTGTCTTATGCTCATTCTTATGTTTCCGATTCGTCCTCGTCGTAGCATTCTTCGTAGCGCTGCTACTGTTCGTCATCTTCTTCTGCTCTCCCTGCGGATGCCCCCTTGCCCCCCTGGAGCGCGAGCAAGGTCGGCGGACCGTGGCCTCTCAGGCCCGGCGGCGCCGCGGCGCGGCCGCCCGGGCAGAGCCCCCGGCGGGGGTGGCCATGGCGCCGCCCGCGGCATCGGTTGGGCGGCCGCTGGGCGGGCGGGAGGGCGGCAAGCCACGGCGGGGCCTTCCTCCCCGCCCTCCTCCTCCTCCTCCCCTCCTCCTCCTCCTCCTCCTCATCCTCCTCCTCCTCCTCCTCCCCGACCTCCTCGTCCTCCCCCGCCCTCCCTCGCTCTCTCATTATTTCGCCCCTCCTCCATTCTTTTTTCATCATTAGTATTCGCCTTGTTGTTTTTATTCGTGTCGTTAGTATCAGTACAATTCGGGCGATTATTTTATAGTATGTTTCAGAATCGTACACAATATCATATGGTGATATAGTACGCATATAGGCCCGTATTATACGATCTCATCATACAATACATTCTATTGCGTTGTATTATGATAGACTCTATTAAACCATGTCACCGCATCTCAAGCTATATGGTAGTCTAACACACAATGCAATAGTTCAATTAAAGGGTCGCATTGTATAGTGTAGTATAAGCTGAGATGATGTGTGATATAGTGATGTAACAAATGTTGGTATACCACACTATGCGATATATTATATACTACAATGGGTTCAATCAGATGGTCGTATGTCCTTTTCTGTGTGTTATATCACATTACATGATGTTAAATTGTGTTGTATACTGTATTATAATATGTTAAAGCGTCTACAAGCCCATACTGTATCGCTATAGTGTCCTAGGTGTTGCGTTTATTTCTACCATCTTACATTATACAATATTATTATATATACGAGAGTATCATATTATAGCATATTACATTGCACTACACCAAAATATGTGATCATGCAATACTATATAGTACACGTAATCATATGATGCTACATGTATTACGCTACATAAAACAACAATACTATTATCAGTATGCGGATCGTTATTCACAGTAATCTGATTCCCTCCTCCTTCCCCTGGTGTGATTCCTGCCCCTGCTCGCGGGGCTGCTGCTCTGGCGAGGAAGGAGAGGAGGAAAAGGAGGAGGAGGAGGAGCAGGAGGAGCAGGAGGAGAAGGAGAAGGAGTAGGAGCAACAGCAAAAGCAGGAGGACAACGAGGAGAGGGCGGCGGTGTGCAAAGCATCGCGCGGAAGGGGAGCGGGAACGGAGCAGCCCCCCGCGAGGTCTCCACGACGGACCTGCCCTCCGAACTCGGCACGCTCGGGGAGGCGGTGCAACCACAGCTAGGGCTCGGAGCGCGACCCGGCTCGGTACTTCAGGGACGACGATGATGATGGCGAGGAGTGAGGAGATGACGATGGTCATGAGGACGACGAGGAGGAAATGTATTACGATGATGATGATGATGATGATGATGATGATGCGGAGGAGGAGGACGAGGAGGAGGAGGAGGAGGAGGAGCGACAGTGACAGTCGGAGGAGGAGGAACGAGACGGATGACGCTGACCATGACGAGGAGGGTGAGGATGGAGCTTCGGCACCCGAGGGATGATGGTGACGAAGAGGACAGAAACTGGCTTCGCGCTTCGGCGTGTCCAAATGCGGCGCGACTCCGCCCTCGCAAAGCCGCCGGTAGGATCACCGGGCACCCCCGCACGGCGTGCCTTGTGCAAATTCCGCCATCTGGCGCGCTGTTGCCAAGACGGCAGCTGCAGGACCTACGGAGAATCTGGGCGGGTGTCGGCGGCGAGCCCAGCGGGGAAGACAGAGGGGCGGGCCTTCTCAGAAGGCTCGGAAGGCCGCGGGCCTTCCGAGAACTTGTTCAGGGTTTCTCCGAAGACACATGCGGCTTCTCAGAAGGGCGGAGGGCTTCTGAGAGGCCACGCCGCCTTCTGAGAAGGCCTGCCCCCGTCTCACTTCCCCCTCGGGCCCGCCGCCGCATGGGAGCCAGCCCTCTGGATCAGGCACGTGGTGGCCGTCAACCAGCTCTATGACATTACTTGGACGCTGTGCCTCGCCCAATCCTGCAATTTCACGAGGCCTGAAGCAAAGCGCGCACGCCTTCCAAGCAAACGATCCCCAAGCACAGCAAATGCCATGATGGACGCGAGATGAGACAGATCTGCCAGGGCACGTAGTCAAGCCAACCTTGATATCACAAGGCGCAACTCATTCTGTGGAGGACGCCCTCTGGGACGGCAGTGCCAAATTTTCGGCATCGGCTGCGTGACATCCTGCCGCGGAAGAAGCTCTACCAGTGCGGGCTTCGAACTTCCCTGGCCGAGGCGGAGGTGCACGTTAAGCTCCTCACCTGCCGTCCTCCTCCTCCTCCTCCTCCTCCTCCTCCTCCTCCTCCTCCCCACCTCAGCCCTCTACCTCTTCCTCCTCCTCCTCCTCCTCCTCCTCCTCCTCCTCCTCCTCCTCCCCTTCCCCTATCCCCCATCCAATATCCCCCATTCCCCTCACCCTTCCACTTTGGTCATTCTACCATGTCTCCTCCTCCTTCTCCTTGTTCTCCTCCTCCTCCTCTTCCTCCTCCTCCTCCTCCTCTTCCTCCTCCTCATCAACATCAGCATCATCATCATAATCATTATCATCATCCTCAATCTCATTATCGTGATCATGTTCATGCTCATGCTCATGCTCCTCCTCCTCCTCATCATCATCCTCATTATCATCATCACCATCTCCATCACCACCACCACCATCACCATCACCATCACCATCAACATCACCGTCACCACCACCATCATCATCATCCTCCTCCTCATCATCATCCTCCTCCTCCTCATCATCATCATCACCAGCAGCATAATCATCACCAACAGCATCATCATCACCATCCTCATCATCATCATCATCATCATCATCATCATCATCACCACAATCATCATCACCATAATCATCAGCACCATCATCATCATCATCATCAGCATCAGCATCAGCATTATCATCGTCAGCATCATCATCATCAGCATTATCATCATCAGCATCATCAGCATCAGCATTATGATCGTCAGCATCATCATCATCAGCATCATCAGCATAATCATCATCAGCATCATCATCAGCAGCATTAACACCTTCAGCATCATCACCAACAGCATCATCATCAGCATCATCACCATCAGCATCATCATCAACATCACCATCATCATCAACAACATCATCTTTCTCCCGCCTCCGCCCGCCCCCTCGCTCCCCGCTCGCGTCCGCCTGCCCCATACCGTCCTCCGCCCGTGCGGGCGCGTACCGCCGGCACGGGCTAGGCGCGCAGACCTGCCCCTCCCCCACCGCCAGCACCGTCCTCTGCAGCATCACACAGCGGGTGCATCGCTGAGAAAACTTGACCTAAGAAATCGAGGGGCACATTGTTCGATCAGTGTTGGACTCCGCCGGAAGCCGAATTATACACTCCAAAGGTGCCCCTGGGGTCGCCGGAAGGAAATCTCTTCGTGAGTGCTGGCAAGCTGGCAAGCGGGTTTCGTATTCGGCGTGCCTACTGTACCTTACACACGTACGCAGTTGTTAATCAGCAGAGAGAGAGAGAGAGAGAGAGAGACAGAGAGAGAGAGAGAAAGCTGAGCAAGCCAACTGCCTCATGAATTCTTCAAGCTAAGACTCTACCTGTTGAAACAAAGCTGCGGCCTCCTCGGGCGCACCAGAGACTTAACTCATCACGTCGACCTTCACGAGCACCTTTTCCACCTCGACTGTATCCTTCAAGGACGCATGTGATTCGATCGCACATGTCGTACTACTACCCGCTCGCATCTGATTGTCGTGCTCCTGCCCACCTCCATACCGTCGCAACAGTGGCTGTGACAGTCTTCCATGCCAGCATGACCCCCCCTACGATATTATGATTGTCTCTCCCGCAAGATCCCGTACAAACTGGACACGAGTGGACGCCGACTGTGAATATCCGCCGCCTCCCACAAACTGCAATCTACAAATGCTCACGTGAATGCCGCTGCGTACGTCTTGACTCGAAAACTGCTTTTGCTATCAGACATATCCTTTCGCAAGCTGGCCTCATGTTTCGAAGGTCGGAACATTCCCCATCCTCCTCCTCCTACTCCTCCTCCTGCCCATCCTCCTCCACGAATTAATATGCAACGCTGGGCAACGATACGCGCAACGTCAAAAACATCGGCGATATCGCCAGTGCTTGAAACGCTGCTGACGCCTTGTTGTTGTCTCTTAGACGTGCGACTCGTTCCGCTGGCTGCTACGGATTTCCCCTTTGTGTACGAATCAGAAAGGCGTTGTTTCGTCTGCGCCGGGCTTCGCGAACCTTCCACTTA